GGGAAAGAAATACTATAGAAGTCAATCAACTGTTTGACTTCCAGCATTCTTCAAAATATCTTCTTTTAATGTTCAACATAAGAAAGAAACTCCTACAGGTTTGGAACGACACGAGGGTGAGTAAATGATGACAACATTTTCATTTTCATTTTAATGTTTTGCACCTGATCAATACAGTTGATCGACCTGAAGCTATAATCACGACTGAAGACATGATGAAAGGTTTGTCTAAAATACAGTGCACTTAAAGGGACAGTTCACCCAAATATAATGTTTCTGTCAAATCACCCTTGTGTCATTCCAAACTGACTTTCTTAAACTGCAGAGCACAAAAGGAGAAATTTTGAATAATGTGTTTGAACAATGTGAATAAAGTTTTCTTTGATCATACAACAACTTTGTGTAAAGAACAGACTGAAATGTAATTTGTCGTCATCCCAGTGAACTGTTGAACTTGAGAGTCAGATTCATGAATGAATCATTCAGACCATTCAGTAAATTGATTCACTAAAAGAATCATTCTCAAAATGACAATTTGTTCATAAATCACATTGCTACTTCTCTCATAAATGAACCTGCCAGAGAGCTAGAACGGATGTCAATAACTTACATTTCAGTCTGTTCCTCACACAAGGATATGTCTTCAGAAGCGACCAAGTTTTATGGACTACTTGTGTCCATTTTTAGCTGTCCTTCAGTGTAACTGCACAGAAAAGAACAACAAACTACATTCCTCCAAATTTCTTCTTTTGCTTTCACTGGAAGAAAAAGAAACGTTATGAGGGCGAGTGAATTATGAATGAATCATATTTGAGTGAACTGTTAACTGCCAAAACAAGAAACAAATCAACTCATCATCATTTGTTTGCAGATGCAAAGTTTTAATATTTTGTAATATAATACAATGACATTCATTCATTTTTAAGTGTGGCATATTGTATATGTCTTTTTAGGGCCACTTTTTACAAATCAAATCACAAGATGCTGTTCACATCTCCACAGCAGCTGGCAAATGTCAGAACAAGACTCTTCATTAGTAGGATCATAAAAGAGTGAATTTTCCACTCCTTACTGTTAAATGAAACCTTTCTCTCCATCCCTTGACCCTGCTGCCTCTCTCTCCTTCAGTCTGTCTCTCTCTCTGGTGACAGACACTGTGGCTGAAAATTACAGACAAGCAGCTCTGTTTAATGATGTCAGGCGTCACAGATTCGAGGCCTCACGAAAACTGACTATTTTAACAGTGCGCATGGAGACTAGAGGAGGAGACGGCCTACACACACCCACACACACACACAATGTGTAGTTTTGGTTTTCTGAGATGTTCTTCTGAGTAACTGTCAAAGTTACTCACCTCCTATCTCGGCCAAATTAGCAAATTACTCCGAAACAAGTCCAAACAAAACCGCAGAAGAGCATTCTGTTACACTGCAGTACAGCTTGCCAACTGTATGTGCGCGCATGTGTGAACATCTTTGTGTGCTGTTTGTGTGCAATATATATATATATATATATATAAAATTTTTTTC